TGTGAGTGTTGTTAGTACACTGGTTACCAGTTTAATCGCTAGTCTGTTGAACAATACCTCTTCAACTTTAAAGTCATGAATCTCCTTTGATGATGGAAGTTGACAGACGTGCGAAACTAGTAAATAGTTCCGTATCTTGACTTATCGGTAATTTGTTCCTGCTTAAGTTAGAACCCCCATGTTATGAAGTCGATCGTGTAGACATTTATGGGTAACGTTTTCTAAAAGGGAATATATACTCCAGTAGACTTGAGTTACAAGAATGCACAAGAAGCAGATTCCATTCTCACTACTCAAAACCATGTGCCACTATATACTGTGTGTTCAGGGTCAGGATTGTGTGAACGCTTTTCTGTAGAAGGCAGTTTCATCTTGCTTCTTCGTTAAACCATGTGCTTACTGACCACATTGCTCTGTATCCATGTATATCCATGTAATCGAAAGGCCACATACAAACGTCTTGTATATTAAGCATACTATTACTATGAGTATTTGTCCCTTGGATTCCTAAAGTAACATAGGGTTTCACTCGCACGTCGCCATTTCACTCTCTTCCCTGCAGTCTTTTTAACCTGGCTCCACGACTGCCCATTAACTTTCATTTCTTCCTCACACCATCTCCTCCATGTCACCCTCAACTGGGACGCCCAACTCGTCGCTCTGCATACGGATTCCACTCAACAGCCTGGCCTGGCTCGTGATGTCCTCAGACGGTCCTCTCAGTGTATGTCCGGTCCATCTCCACTTTCTTCTTCACATTTGTTTGGTAGGTTAGTTGCCAGAGTTCCTAGTTGCGTGTTCTTTCTGGGCACTTGATCTTCAGTATGGAGTGAGCGTAGGTGGCAGGTGTTGACGCATGTCTGTGGTTTGTTGAAAATGCTTTTCGTAGAGCATCAAGTCTCTCAACCATCACATAGAAGCACTGACTTGACTGACTCAATGTTGAAAATCCGGACCTTGTTCACGCTTTATACTGAGTGCAGTGTAGTGCAGTAGATCTCCACACTGATTTCAGATTAATGAAGAAAGGCCTATCTTGCTGTCTTTCCGATCCTGGTTTTGACATCCTCATCTGTACCGCCCGTAGTTGAAACGATGCTGTCTAGATAGGCGAAAGAGACAACTTCCTTTAGATTTCTCCCGTTCATGGTGATTGGTGCTTGTTGTTGATGTTGTTGGTTGGGTATCTTCATCACCTCTGTCTTCTCTACGTTCACTTGAAGTCCCGCTTCGCTGCCTCTTCTGTCAACTTGTTGGCTTTTGCCTGTAGATCTTCGAGTTTGTACGACACTAGACATAAATCAGCATCGGCTTGATCCAAATCTTCTAGGGTCTTTTCATGGGTCAGACAGTGTATGCCCCTCTTCTCGCCCCTCACGGTTTGTTGTATGATCCAGTCCAGTCCAGTCGACCGAAATCAGGAAGATCATGGGTGACAGTAGGCAACCTTGTCTTACTCCTGTCTTCACTTTACTCCAAAGGCATCAATGAGCTTTCCATTGTGAATCACTTGGCATGTAGCCTCATCACATAACATATAGCTGCTATTGAATGTGGTTGATAAAGGTTTGTGGTAATAAAACCGTGGTGTTGAAGGGACTGCCAAATTACTTGTTGGTGGACGCCTCGATCGAAGGTCTTTTCAAAGTGGATGAAGTTGAGATAGAGAGTTGACTGCCATTCTGTTCTCTGTTCTATGTTGGTGTGTAGCGTTGCGATTTGATCCGCACATGATTCGTACTTCCTGAAACCAACCAGCCTATTCCGGTCGTAGTTTTAAATGCAGAGCATTTTCGAGTCTCTCCAGGATAATGAGGCTTAATATTTTGCTTGGGGTGGACAGGAGAGTGATTCCACGCCAGTCCTTGGAAAGGCTTAGATCTCACTTCTTTGGGAGGTTGACAACATAGCCCTTCTTCCTTCCTTCCAAACATTTTGCAATAGTGGTGTTGTGTGAGCATGTTCGCTGCTGTCTCTGCGTCCGTTTTCAGTGCTTCTGGCAGAATTCCATCTGGTCCTGCTGCAACTTTATGGCGTCCAGGACTTCTGCTTTTGACGAAGGGCCTGTGTTCACTGATAGTTCTGTGGCTGGGTTGCTGGTGGTATTTCTGGACAAATTGCAGATGGTGGTCGATTAAAGAGCCTTTTGAAGTGATCAGCCCATTGTTTCATCTGTTCCTCCTCTTTGGTAACTGGCTTTCCTTCACTATCTTTCATTGGTTTCGTCTGAGTCGATCTCTTCCCAGATCGATAGTAACCTGATTATTTGATACAATGTTGTCAGGTCTCTCCTACCAGCCAGCAGCCTGTTCTGCTTCACTTGCCAATGTGTCGTGGAAGTGTATTTGTCTTTGCGCGCACTCTTCACTTCTTTGTCTAGCGTAGTGTTTTTACGTTGTACTCAGTTCTTCTTTTCGTTGTTCATCCTTGCACTGCACTGGTTCATCTTCTGCTTCCCCCCATCTTCCTCTCTCTGCCCTGTTAGCTTCCATATGTCCGTCGAGATCCATTACTCATCTTTTTTCTTCTTCCTTCCTAATACGGTTATGCAGGTTTCTTTCCACATAGCTGTCAAAGAGTTCAAGTGCTCATCCACACAGGTTTCTTCAGGGATGTTGCTTGATATTTCCCATTACGTTCTGATGGCTGACGTGAAGATGTCCCTTGTAGTTTCGTCCTTCAGTTTCTGTTCTGTGCGTTGAAATTGAACTGTGGTCTATCACCAACTACTTTGCAGACTTTCAACTTGAATTTGAAGGTTCATTGGACTAGATAGTGATTGGTGTGAACCTACATCTGCTCCTCTTCGTGATCTTGTGTCCAGTAGGCTGCGTCTCCACTTTCTTAAGATCGAGATGAAGTCGACCTGGCTTTTAGTGTATCCTGGTGTCTGGTGAAATTCATGTTGCTTTGTACACATTGCATCCAATCACCAAATTGTTGAATGCGCAGAAATCTGCAAACAGTTCTCCGTTCTCATTCATTTCACCGAGTGCTTCTCGACCCATGGTTAGTTCTCTTCCTGTGTTTTCCGCTCCCAGTTTGGCATCCCATGTCACCCATTAGAATTTTTATGTCGCCAACTGAGGTCTTGTCCAGTACTGATTACAGTTGTCTGTAGAATTCCCCCTTCCTTTCTTGCTCTGCATTATTTGTTGGCGTGCAGCATTGTACGATTGTGACTTTCCGTCCTTCCGAGTTGAATCTTGCTGTCATAATCCTGGAGGAGGCTGGTTCCCACTGCATGAGAGGCTTCGATGCTCTTGAGGTCATCGTGATAGCCACTCCCTCCGTGTGTTGGTGGTTGTCGTCTGGGTGACAATATTGGAGTAGATTATTGACTCCTCTCCAGTTGGCAGATGGGAGTGTCCATTTCCATTCCATCTGCTCTCGCAGATTCCTAGCCTAGCACTTCTATGCCATATCTTCTCATCTCTTTTGCAATCTGGACAGCCTTGCTAGGTTCATGCATGGTGCGAACATTCTATGTCCCCACGGTGACTTTCGCTTTCATCGATGGAAGAGAAGATACATCGGCCGACTGGCTTCCAGAAGGCTTTCACCAACCGGCATCATTTCTTCTTTCTGATTCCAGCAAGGAACAAGTTTTTTTAAAATATTTTCGTTTTGCTTTGAAGTTTTCTTAGCGGTCGGATTGATTTTCCGATGTAGAGTTGCTAGTCCTATGCCCAACCTTCCCTTTTTAAACGGGCTTAGGACTGGCTAGTAACTAGTAACTAGTTAACCTGGCTAGGTTAGCATAAGTAATATCCAGGCTATAGCTAGACTCCCTCATAACTTCCGATTACCGGACAGGGCTAGGTTGATTAGGTCCATCAAACTGAAAGAGAAATTGAGAATACCAATAAAGAATATTCTGATTGAAAGTGCTAGCTATGATCTGCAGTCTTATCAGATTTTATATTCAGATAAAATGTTTTACACCGAGTTGCACACGGACACCCAGACACATGTATGTATCAGTATCTAACATTTATTAAAAAATATTGTAATTTTGACTGATGATCGCAGTAGAAATTCTCTTCGTGAGAAATACGTTGATGGCACAGTTGCGAAGATGCAACTTTTTTTCTAGGAAGACTTTACACTTTACTAGATAATATACGCTGAAATTGGTAACAAGGGAGAGATAATTGTCTGTCGTTAATATAGGTGTAAAACTTGGGCACTGTGGTAGAAATTAATTCCATATTAGTTTTGTTTACTTGATTTATAACACACAGTGATGTAGTATTATTTACTTGATGACGTTTCGAGCATAAATTATTGCTCATAATCATATGAATGTAATCACAAAGCTTTCTTAGGGTTCATTTGTTTATAATTGCTAACAATAACTCTCAATGTGCTCAATGTATGTGCTTGCATTAAATAATCTAACCAACAAATAACCAGTTGGATACTGGGTGATGATTGAAGATTGAATGCTAATCAGGGTTATGGGAGCATTCCAGTTAACCACCACCAGGTTTCCGGTCCATTACTCTACCAGCTGACTTGTGACAGCCAACTACTGGCTATTCAGATCTCAATTTCACTTCAATCACCAAAGGTTTTGCCCGACAGCCATGTGAACTCAAATGATTTGGAGATTCTACGGTCCATGTTGACATTGCTCACAACTGAGTGGTTTTCAAATGGCCAAATGTAGTGGGGTGTGTGAGGTGAACTTGTCCAGATACACTTCTCACCAACTCGGCTCCAAAAATCGAAGTGGCCGTTTTATGTTTGCATCACTGAGATCTGGCTGATGAAATCTACAGATCAGTTTAAGTGATTTCTAACTACTCATATTATTCAGTAAAATCTTATGTTTCCATTCAACAAACTGTAAGTGATGAAGTCTTGAGAAATTTTACGATACAAAATGAAATGATAAACCGCAATTTAAGACCACACCAACATTTGAACAGAGAAAGAGAATGCACTCTCCTTCTGAATATTTAACACACGAGATAATTTTTCAACCAAGAGCCTACCTCATGCCTTTCCACTACCACTTTGAGTAGGTCCCATTCTCCATTTTCAATATAATTTGATGTATCTACCTCATCATGTCTGAAATGTAGCAGAGAACAAGATAAAAGAACAAAACATGTGATTAAATCACACAACTGTAAAATAAATGAGAGAAAAAACGGTAGAACATTTGGTTATAAAATAAAACATATTCAATTGGCCATTTTGTCAATTGCGACACCATGTACCTACCACAGCCTCTTCTTCAGTTGTATATATTGAGTACACACAGAATGAAAAGTGTCTCACAGATTGCAGTCGGTCAACCAAGTCCCTTCGGAATCATTTTGTCTATAAAGAATAAAATCTCTGAATTTTTCGTCATATAGATCAAAAGATGTTGTGTCAAATGACGACATGGAGAAAATAATATTGCAAATAGGCTTCAGTGACTGTAAGAAAGACCTCACCTTGAAATCTGACCACCGATCAGGCGTAGAGCATCATAAGAAGTTATCTTTAGTCTCTCAGTTTGTGAGGAACTTTGGATATGGATTATATTGAGCAATGTCAGAAATGCACGTTGGAAGCAACTGAAAGACTGCTAAATAAATTAGAGACCTGCTTATTACGCGGTCCAAGGCAAGTAGGTAAACTGATCCTGTCTGATTCAGCTCTTAACTAAGTAAAGGAAATGAAGTATAGTCATATATATTAGGGGAATGACAACAAGACGAGTTGACACAATCACTCCCATCCCGTGTTCCTAAGAAGCATATACCTTAGGGAAGATAATCTATGTCTCATCGTGGAAGACAGCTCTTCTGACGCCCTACAGTTCGTTACTCTCAAACTGTTTAACTTTTATCTGAGGCTATTTTATCCATTAAAGTCAGGTTTTCGAGGAGTGCAACTTGATGTCTTTCAACAAAATATTCTATTCAGATAATGAATTGCAGTAAGTAGCAACAGTGGTCGTCTCAAGAGACAATAATTGATAAAGGCCAGTTAGTACTGAAACCTAGGTCATAGCGTTTATTTACCTGATTGGCATATTCATCTTTTAAGTGAATTACGACAGCACCAGCCTGTTAGCTGCGAGGCCACATAGTCGAATTTCTGAAACCAGATCTTCATTTCACCACAAATCATCATCCAGTACTGAAATTCTGAATTCACAAACCTTAATTGGTGTACATGTTCAGTGCTTTATGGTGGCGTGCACAGGTACTGTAACTTCCCAATGATACATTCTTATGTTCGTGAGCAGATTACTTTTCCAGAAAATCCTTAACTTTTAGGTCTCAATCGCTTCAATCAGTATCCAGTAAAATAAACACTAATTATTTAGTGTCCACCAGTGAAATCCAAAAGATGAACAATTAAGGGATTCAATCTTAAGTTGTTTTGTCCCCCCTTGCTCACCCCGCTTCACACACAAACACTAATACCGTTCATCACATTTCGAGGTATTGTAGTGAGCGTTGCTGATTATTATTATTATTCGTCCCTTGGTTTCCTAATGGAAAATAGGGCTTCAGTAGCACGTCTCCAGTGAACTCTGTTCGCGAAATCTTTTGAACCTGGCTCCACGACAGCCCAGAAGCTCTCATTTCCTCCTCGCACGATCTCCTCCATGTCACTCTCGGACGTCCAACTCATCGCTTCCCATGGGGATTCCACTCGAGTGACTGGCCTGATGCTTGATGTCCCCAGTCGGCCTTCTCAGTGTATGCCCAATCCATCTCCACTTCCTTCCACTGCATATTTGTTGGGTGGTAGGTTCTTGGTTGGTTCGTTCCCAGAGCTCCTTGTTGCTTATTCTTTCTGGCAATCCATCTGATCTTCAGTAGCGAGCGTAAGCAGTTGTTGATGAATGTCTGTAGTTTATTGGAAATCCCTTTCGTAACGCGCCAAGTCTCTGAACCATACATGAGCACTGACTTGACGTTGGTGTTGAAAATCCGGATCTTGTTCCGCATGCTGAGTGCAGAAGATCTCCACACTGGTTTCAGGCTAATGAACACCTGTCTTGCCTTTCCGATTCTGACTTTGACATCCTCGTCTGTCCCACCTGTAGTTGAAACAGTGCTTCCTAGATAGGTGAAGAAGGTTACTTCCTTTAAGTTTCTCCCGTTGATGGTGATTGAAGCTTGTTGTTGTTGTTGGTTGGGTATCTTCATCACTTCTGTCTTCTCTATATTAACCTGAAGTCCTGTCTTCGCTACCTCTTCTGTCAACTTGTTAGTTTTCGCCTGTAGACCTTCAAGTTTGTGTGACATTAGGCACAAGTCATCGGCGAAATCCAGATCTTCTAGGTTCTTTTCCGCAGTCCAGCGTATCCCCCTCTTCTCACAGCTCCCCACTGTTTGCTGCATGATCCAGTCCAGTCGATCACAATCAGGAATATCATGGGGGATAGTAGGCAACCTTGTTTCACTCCTGTCTTCACTTCAAAAACATCACTGAGCTTCCCATTGTGAATTACTTGGCATGTGTCGTCTTCATATAGTTGTTGAATGAGGCGGATAAAGGTTTGCGGTACTCCGTAGTAATGAAGCAGTTTCCAAATTACCTCTCGGTCGATGCTGTCAAAAGCCTTCTCAAAGTCGATAAAGTTGAGGTGTAGAGTTGACTGCCATTCTATACTCTGTTCTATCATGATGCGAAGCGTTGCAATTTGGTCGGCACATGATTTGTACTTCCTGAAGCCTGCCTGTTCCAGTCGTAATTTTGAATCCAGTGCATTCCTTAGCCTCTCCAGGATGATGCGGCTTAAGATTTTGCTTGCTTTGGGTGGACAGGAAAGTGATTCCGCGCCAGTTCTTGCGAACACTGAGGTCTCCCTTCTTCGGGAGTTTGACAAGGTAACCCTTCTTCCAATCACTAGCCAGGTACCTTCTCTTCCTTCCACATCTTCTGCAATAGTGGTGTGGTGTGAGCATGTCCGCTGTTGTCTCTGCGTCTGCTCTCAGTGCTTTTGGCGAGATCCCATCTGGTCCCGCTGCTTTCCCGCATTTCACTAGCTTTATGGCGTTCAGGACTTCCATTTTTGTTGGAGGATTTATGTTCACTTGTAGTTCAGTGGCTATAGGTGGTATTTCTGGACGAAGTGCAGGTGGTGGTCGATTCAAGAGCTTCTTGATGTGGTCGGCCCATTGTTTCCTTTGTTTCTCTTCTTTCGTAATTAAATTTCCATCATCATCTTTTATTGGTTTCGTCTGCGTTGATCTCCTCCCAGATGGTAACCTGGTTATTTGATACGGTGTTGTCAGGTCTCTCCTACCTGCAGCCTGTTCTGCTTCACTTGCCAGTGTTTCGTAGAAGTGTCTTTTGTCTTTCCGTGCACTCTTCCTCGCCTCTTTGTCCAGTGTTTTATACATTGTACTCGGTTCCTCTTCTCGTCGTTCAGCATTCTTGCACTGGTTCATCTTCTGCTTCACCATCCTCCTCTCCCTGCTCTATCAGCTTCCATGTGTCCATTGAGATCCATTCCTTATCTTCTTTCTTCTTCCTTCCTAATACGGCTGTGCAGGTTTCTTTCCACATAGCTTTCAAAGACTTCCAGTGTTCTTCCACACAGGTTTCTTCAGGGATGTCCCTCGATATCTCCCATTTTGTGTTGATGGCTGCCTTGAAGATCTCCTTTGTAGTTTCATCCTTCAGTTTTCGAGTGTTGTACTTGAACTGTGGTCTATCACCAGCTTCCTTGAAGGCTTTTAACTTGATTTCGAAGGTTCCTTGCACTAGATAGTGAGTGGTATGAACCTACATCTACACCTACATCTTCACCTTGTGTCAAGTAGACTGCGTCTCCACTTTCTTGAGATTGAGATAAAGTCGATTTGATTTTTAGTGTGTCCATCTGGTGAAATCGAATCCATGTCGCTTCGTGGATATCCTTGTGCTTGAACACACTGCCTGACTCCAATCACCAAATCGTTGAATGCACAGAGTTCTGCAAACAGTTCTCCATTCTGGTTCATTTCACCTAGCGCTTCTCGATCCATGGTTAGTTCTCTTCCCGTGTTGTCCCCTCCCAGTTTGGCATTCATGTCGCCCCACCCATTGGGATTTTGATGTCGCCAACTGAGGTGGTGTCTTGTCCATTGTTGATTGAAGTTGTCTGTAGAAATCCTCCTTTTTCTCTTGCTCTGCATTATTTGTAGGTGTGTGGCGTAGCATTGTATGATTGTGACCTTCCTTCCTTTTGAGTTGAACCTTGTTGTTATGATCCTGAAGGAGATTGGTTCGCACTGCCTTCGATGCTGTTGGTGACATCATGATAGCCACTCCCTCTGTGTGCTAGTGGTTGTCATCTGAGTGACCGGAGTGGATTATTGATTCTCCAGTTGACATTTGGGAAAGTCCACTTCCATTCCATCTACTTTCTCAAACTCCAAGCACTTCAATGTGATACCTTCTCATCTCTTTTGCAGTCTGGGCTGCCTTACTGGGTTCAAACATGGTGTGGACATTGCATGTTCACATGCTTCCTTTTGCTTTCATGAAGAGAAGCGAGGATAGATTGGCCAATTGGCTTCCCGAAGGCTTTCACCAACTGGCGTCATTTCGCCTCTCCGATTCCAGTGAGGAATAATTTTGTTATTATGTTTTATATATCGTTTGTGCTTTGAAGTTTCTTTAGCGGTTAGATTTGTTTTACGGGGTAGGGTTGCTAGCCCTATGCCCAACCTTCCTTCTTTACCCGGGCTTAGGACCGGCTAGTAACTAGTCAACTAGTTAACCAGGCGATGTTGGGCGTTGCTGATATCAACGGATATAAGTAGTATATATCGAAATGGTGGCGGGAATCATAGGGAATTACCGGCATAGGGTAAGGTTTCTGCAAAGAGAAACGCAGGGGACAACACAGGCGTATTACAGGGGATGCTACTTATAAGAGTGTAGGAAGAGCAGGTCAAGAGCAAATCAAGACAGGAACGGAGGAGGAAACGAAGACATTTGCAAATGGCTGGGTGTTCCATATGTAACCACTACCATTCCGATTGTTCTTAAAAAGCACTCTTCTGTCAAATTGTCTTCTGACTCCTCAGTATTCCTTCCAGCTACAAGGTAATGGACAGATATAAGATTGATTTGTGTTTTAAATAGAAGTGGCCATTAAAAACCTTTATATATATTCACCTTGTTTCGTGATTTGTAAATGAATAGAAAATGTGTTATTCTTCTTAATCTTAGTTGTTCATTCGCTCAGTAACGAAACTTCTTATGCAAACTAGTCTTCAACATTCATAACAACTTTTGTTGATAATGACAACTCACAGGAGTATAGGAGATCATTTGCTAACAGAGGTCGAGCAATCTGAACCCCTATAGCAACGGCAAATTACAAGTATCAATAAATGACAAGTTATACCCGTTTCATAAGTGGCGGTTCTCATGCCCTGGTCGCCTAGTGGACAATACTTTGTAGTTTGGAGTCATAGGTAATGGGTTCCGAGAAAGAATATCTGTTAACGATTGAGCTAGGTACTCCGAAAGTGTTACTGCCGATCAGCACAAAGGGGACGTAAAAATGGAGAATGTTGTCGGATAGATGTCTATGCGTTAAAACAAACTCGTAAAACTAAAGTGTTTATTTATTTATTTCCAGCCTAGCAATATTACTGATGTCAAGAATGGTGCACTATAGACTAATCAAATTAAATCACCTATAATGCATTATAGTCTTGGGGCAAAATACATTAGTCGTGTATGGCACCAAGTTATTAGACGTATATAACAACAATTTTAAGTCTGGTTATCCAGCGTAAAAAAGATATCAAGAATTCGATTCTTTTGAACACCATGTCATCTTCGGACATCTGGCCCCTGCCAGTAGTTTCATGGAAGCAATCTACAGAGTGCCAACCTACACTTCCGAAGGCCTTCGACTGCACCATCTATTCAAATTTGAGTTATTTTCAGTTCACAGCATTAAACCTCATCTCTACCTTATAAAACATCACGTGCATCATAGTCAGAGTGTCAGTTTACTTTCCATTTTTCGAAACATTTTAGTCTGCTCCTTAAACATTAAAGTAATCACGTGACTCTATTGACTGATGATGAACTACTGTGTTCCCAGTGTCTTTAAGTATGATTGTACAGCTTTAGTAAACGAAATCGTCGAGGAAACAATTTTCTTTGCTGTAACATCTTTGTTTTATGAATTGGTCATTACAATTGGAATCAGCAATATTGTTAATGATAACAGTTTGTACTTGGCAACCTAGTAGATAACGCCACGGAATTTGAATGATGAACGTTACAGTCATGAGGACAGCAACATGCACCGGATCTGTTGCTATGATCTGGGAGGAATGTACCTCATAAAAATTGCTCTGATAGCAGAAAGTGATATATTTCCGACGGGGACGCTATTGTTTTTTCCAAGCGATTTGTCCTATGAGCTAAGGTCTTAGTTGGGGATCACTTCAGTGTAATGCCAAGCATTGTTATCAGTGCATCAGGGCCTCACAGGGAAGCCAACTGGTCGGTTTTGTATGAATATTTATAACTTGTCATTGTGTCGAAATGTAATTTGATTGGTAGCTTGGGGATGCGTGGGTACTTGATAAACCTACTTGGTTGGTTTCTTGCCCGTATTTCCTAAGACGGTTGTGAACTTAGGTCACTGGTGAATTTCTTTTATTTGTTTGTAACACGTTGAATTTGTTGTGATTTGTTCACCTCTTATGTTAGAATTAATTGATGAAGGTTGCCTTGTTCTGATTGGTTGCTACTTTTGTTTGACTGAAGCGATTAAAGTTGTCTCCACCCGATTAGTTGATGTGCATATATTGTAGAGTTGATACTCTGATTGACCACTAGACATTTAATGCTACCCTGTCTAGCCTCTGGTTTATCCCAATTATATAGACTCAAGAAGGTAATGTGACCATAAATTTAAATGACTCGGCATCAGTTTGTGCTAAATGTGCTACTGAACTGTGTAAAACAGTCTTCAAGATGTAGCTTTAAGGAACCAAACTAGCAGTCACTGATAGTAACACAAACTTCTGTGGACATGTGAACGATCGTGTTGGATTTGCATTACCTGTTATTTGGACTAGTGTTTGGTTAACCAGCGTTTATTTTCCTAGTGGAAACGTGATGAAATCGAAACACATCAAAATGCATTAAGGACTAGAGAAGTTCAGTCACCAATCAATATATCTAATACAGTTCTGCAGGCGGTCAATAGTGGCCCAGACGTTTGAGTGGTAACGTCGTGACAGTAACACTATGTACGCTGGTTTGAATCTGAGATCGGATGTCAGTCCTCTTGAAGTTGCAAATAAGCCTTCCAGACAAGTGCGAAAAAACATAAAACCTTGGTGAACTGCAGCTCCCCGCCTATGGTCTCCGTCTAACTAGCACCCATCGGCAGACTGTCTATTTTCAAAAGTGTTCAAAACCAAGAATTAGAAGAAAGAAGGAAGTACAATGGGTAAGAATCGCTAATGAGTTACAACATTCACTTATGTGTGAAAATGCGCCCATGTAATAGAATAGTCATCAGTCGTGGTTAGTGTGGAAGTTGACGGTCGAACAATGAAAATAAAGCTGTACAGTTGTCTATTCTAACAGTTCCGTTATAGAAAATTTTCAGTCAGAATCAAACAATTAGCACTTAATTATTCCTTCTTGACTGGTTAATTCCCTGAATGATCTAAGTCTACTTATTATGAAATCAAATTCAAATTTCCAGAATCTTTAGACTGTATTTCCACTAACAAGTCAAGTAATTTAAAAAAACTGAAACATTGATATTAGATGATGAAAAGAAAACTAGAGTCATGTAAATAATTCAACCAAATGCTTCTGTATTACCGACTAGAGGCTTTACCACTTCAGCTATCAGGCCCAGTTGCTAGCAATATCTTCGCTACCGTCGCCGTTATTCTATAATAGTCTAATTAAGAACAACTTAGAAAGTAAACAGATCCAAACTATGGTTGAATCGTCTAAAGTTCTTTCTAAATGATGCCAACTCAGGAAGTATTGGAATGCGAACTAGGAACAATTACAATTTCGGTAAACCACCAGACTGAAATACTATGTAGTAATTATCACTAACATGCTTTAAGCTGACATTCCCCAGAGTTCTAGTGAGGAGCAAAGACTGTTGGGGCGAACCAGGTCAGGTGTGAAGACGTGTACTCGGCAACGAGATTAGACAAGAGTGCACCATATGATCGACTGATGGAAGTAGTAGACACTTGAGGCTAAATGGTAAAGAGCTGGCCATGGAACCCTAAGGTCCTGGGTCCGAACCCTGAGGTATGTGGTCATTGTTGGATGCAGCTAAGGATTCTCATATCAGGATGAGACGGCTGTCCAGAGTTTCTAATGCTTTTCCAACTGACACCAGTCTGAATTCACTATCAACTTGAAACAAAGAGAGAAGTGTTATCAGCTCGACGAACAGTCAAAATATTTGCCGAACTATGGATAAAAAGGATGTAATCCGTATGTTGGTCGTATTATTCAACCGAAATGTTCCAGTACCATACACGAAATCGTTGAATGAGCGATTCAGTTCATCTACCAATAACTGTTCATGAGAAATGCTATCGTTTCACTACCTACAACAGTTTTCCATCACTGAAAAGAAAAAGAATTCAGCGCTTTCATCACTTACCTTTTAATGACGTTCACCTGCCAACCATCATATGTCCATGAACCAAATTTCATTGTGCACGACTGATCATCAAATGGGAAATAAGTGATGTCAATTTTACACGTTGATCTCAACTTGGCTGGTGGTGGCCAGAATACATTACCATTCGACTGTACCATCGCTTTACTCTGCATATAATCGGTCTTATAGTCATCTGCACTGCAACAGGAGATTACATGGAATAGTTAAAAAAAGGGAAGAAGTCAATATTCATCAAATGATAAGTGTTTTAGAAATTAAACATAATAATATGCTTGATATAAGTGTAAAACTTGAGCACTGTGGTGAAATGTAATTTCATGTTGGATTTGTTTATTTGATATATACTGCACAGTGATAGAGTATTATTTACCTGATGACATATCAAGCACAAATTATTTATTGCTCATAATTATAACTCATTGTAATCATACTCCTTTCGACATCTGATTTTATAGTCCTGTCACCCATCTCACAGTCTTTTTTTATTGATAGTAAAGTTTTCCTTGTCTGTGGTGTATATGTTGCGTCATTCCTATTGCATGTGTTGAGTGTAGATCCGATGAACGAAACTTCAGTCTTCAATCTCTCTCTCCATCAAATTATATTGGATTTTGGTAGAGTTGTTTTATTATAGTAACGGACACAATCGGGTTTACTTACGAGGTAAGAAATAAACAAGCAGAATTATCTTTGCTGGATTGAAGAATAAAACGAAGAACAGACGGTGGTTTGGACACTACCATCTAGAGGAAACTGACACATTCTAATGGGTATCTAGACCTAAGGTCATCTCAACCATTGTCAGTTAAGGCGAGTTTAGTCAAATGTCCAAATGACAGAGTTAGAAAACTGACTAGTCATTTGACTTAAACACATAAAAGAAGGAATGATAATTAGTAGTTATCCTTTACCGTTAATTGAGAAATTCGCACGAATACCTAAGAAACGAAATAATAACAGTAACACGAGTGCGAACAATAGGGACAACACGAGTAGAAAGGAGTTCATAGCCTCCCTTGTGATACCCTAGAAAGAATGAACATCAGAAACTTTACACAGGATTCTCAGCAAAACAGGAATTTAGGTGCCATTTAAACCTAAAACTCACTCAGAGATCACCCTTTTCGGCTTTAGGATTTGATAGGTCCAATTAAGTAAAATAATCTCATCTACTAAATTCCATAAAATGACTATGAGGTCAAGTAAACAGGTGAAACTGGCCAATTGGGGTCAGTTCGATTAGTGGAACAAAGAAATTTGACTAAATATAGAATGACAGACGCCAATAAGATCCATAATCTAGGAGAAAGCTTGGCTGTTACATTGCGTGCATTAACACACGACTATACAATAGGGTGGGATAAAACCACTGTACGAAAGTCCAATATAATTTGATGGAGAGAGAGATTGAAGACTGAAGTTTCGTTCATTGAATCTACACTCAACACATGTAATAGGAATGACGCAACACCCACACCACAGACAAGGAAAACTTTATGGTTTAAGACAAATCACACGCAACAGAAAGTCAATCTCTGCATTACGATTTGTTGGAACTGTTGCCATCAGAAGATTGAAGCCTATTCTATGCATTCAAAAGGATCTAGTTGTCAACCTCTTATAGCCTTGGTGAGTGCAGTTTTCGAAAAATGCATCAGAAACTACATTTATTTTGCACTTACTCTCTTCAAACCACACTTTATTTGGACAGGAAGTTTGTGAACAGTCTTCCAGCTGTTGTGGTGAGTTTATCAACGTCTTCCAGTTACATAGTCTACGATGCGAGATTTCCAGGTCTAGTTTAAGGCTGTAGACAATATAAAAGAATTCGTGAAATAAGGATGCACTCATTTTAGTCAGATTCAGCTGTTTTTATGCTCTAATTGGGATGTTTTACTAAAAGACTAGTCATATCACTGGCTGAAATAAATTATCAAACAACTGAAATGTGACCAGTTGGCTTAAGGAGTTGGTTTTCAACTCCTGAGGCATGAGGATGAAAACTGCTACAGCTACCAAGGTTTGGGCAATCAACCGATAACATTAGCCCCCAAACAACAGGTGTTGCCTGCTACCAAGTGCATGTACAAGGTCTCTCAGTGGGTTTCATTTTAGTTTTAGGTTCCAATACTGATTTCAAAGTATGGCGGTGCATCTTCAGAACTGTTGAGCTAAGCCGAGAATGTTTAACTACTGGGTTCATCCATGCGTCACTGATTAAACCAATTCAAGGCATAATAAGTATCGGGAAACATTCACTACTTAAAAAACCTCGTCCTTAATCCTGACTATATAACACGCATTATAATGTGAACGAGTTGATACTGAAACATGAAGACTAAGCGAATCCACCTAACTGTCAGGATTGGAATGGAATGTGAACACAGGCATTCTAAACAATATAACACCCTAATAGAGGTGTAGTGGCTGAGTTCGTCGTATTTTCCAAGATCAAACAAAGACGGGAAATAATGGAAATGGAACAGTATTACGCTAATCGGGTCAAAAATGAAAAACAAGGAATACATTACTGTCGACTACTCAAAGGTTTAAAGATCTGAGAATATTAAAAAGTAGATATCACACACACTTTGATCAACGTTGTAGTAGTAAGCAGGTCACAATAGAAACAACAGAATCATCGGATACTGCATGATAATCAGTAGTTTTTGGCTTCTATCAGTTTATAATAAGGATAATCTTTGAATGAAGAACAACTTATCAACAGCGGGGTAAATATAATGGATTCTGTTATCTGACTCGGTCAAAACCCATCAGTACTTCAGCACAATGTTGGAAACCAAATACACACCTACGGGTTTTCATTTTTATGGGATAGAATGAAAATGTTTATTATTTAACTAGAAACTAACTACCACGTTCAAGAAGAAAGACAGATGATTCAAAGCCAAATGTTAGATGGTGAAAGTAATCTTCAGGAAGCCCTTCTCAGCCTACGTGTCGTTTTCGTTGGTACTCATCAACCAGTTGTTTCTGCAACATCAATGAGGTGGTGCCCCATGAAAGTTTCATACCCGCGTCTTCCAGTTCTGGAGTCAGAGGCGTTACCGATGTGGCATTAGGGCCGCAAGTGACCTGCTACAAGCTGAACTATCAGATTCCTGAGTTCCAAAAGGTTATCATCGGGTAAACCAACAACGTATTGTCTATATAAGATACGGAGTGGATTCATTCACAAAGCCGCTGTCTGACTGAGAAGGAACACTGTTGCAATTTTTAAGAGATGTGTTAAATTACTAACCAGAAAACAGCTGAATACGTAGTACACTGCCAAATATACTGTTATGAACTAAAACACTTCATCGTTTTCTTTTTCTTCTTATGTCTGGTTCAAACTTATTGAACCTTGCAAAAATGCGGCTGATTCAAAAAGTGATTGTTACACAGTCTATAGCCAATCATTATAGAAATTGTGAACATAGTGGAGATATTTGAAATAGTGGATTATTTTGAAAACACTAAGTGATTGATTTAAACAAATTATTCAGTGTTTTTTAATGAATAGAAAGCAATAAGTTCGTTGAAAGTACATCTTCAGTTACAATGATCAATGATTCAGTCCGACTAAATAAAGTCAGCATGTTCAGCAGTTCTTTGAAGAACTAAAAAAGACCAGTTAGCCTATTTCAGACTAGCGAGTACACAATAAGATCTTTGTTTTAAAACGTATTCAGTTGGTTACTGATGTCACATTGATGTTCACGCTAGCTAGACCTTTGTTAGGTGGATGAGGCTAAAATTACCGTATACGGTCAGCTGAAATGCATACAGCTTTATAGTAAGATATCGTAGCTTATGATCGAGTATTATTGTTTCTGAATAGACAATGAAGTGAAATGGTGCAAGTTTCCCTCGGTGTATAGACTCACCTAGAAAGTGTCATTGTATCACGTATCAGGAGTCTCACAGTAAGTTAATTATACCGTTATTACAAGTTTCTGTCTTTTAAATGAAAAAACAACATAAAAGCTGATTCTAGAATTTTTAAGATGTAAACTCCCTGAAGTTAGCAGTGTCAATAAAGTTGACGAAAGTGGCGTCTTGTGAGTCAAAAGGAATCGAAAATATTGGGACTTATGTGAACTAGATACCACCAGCTCAAATATAGCAATCTGTTTTCATAAGTGGGACATAATTCTACACTTAAAAGTAGTTTCCATGATTGACTGATCTCAGCTTAAAGGCTTTGAAGACTTAAGACCACTGCAGAGGTGTTTCGTTCTGCTTTACGGCTCCTCAGCCTTGCAAACCCCCAAAGTCATAGTGCATCTATCCCCCAGTGTCAGCAGATGACTTTTCGATTCAACTATCCGACTGAAATCCAGTGGTCCCCAACCTTCCTCTCCTACCAATTCGTGATATAGTGCAACCATCATTCAATGTCATCAGTGAGTAACTGTTTTCAGTCTCAACTTTAGTGATCCCAGATGATGTTCTCTTAATGAGCCGAATATCGAAGAATTGAATCCTCGTTATGATTTATGTGACAGAAGTTCAGAATAACTAGCGATTCGTAGTCTGGGGTGTCACTCACGTCAGGGGTAAGGTGGTTACCTACCGATGACATTGACTGATGGTCGCGTCATAGCACAAATTGACGGTAGAAAATAACGGAGCAGTGACCAAAGGGCAACATGTTGGTCATGATACTCTATGGTCCTGATCTTGAACCCTAATGTGGTTGTGGGTGTACACTCCTGAGTTTTCTAGAACTACAAGAAAATAGCTCCCCACTGTTGCTGGTTTCTCCAGTGGTTCTCCACTTGACATCAGTTCATGATGAAAACAAACTTGAAACCACTGAGCCTTTATAAATTTCATTTGCCTGTAGATTGGATTACATTTGTCCAGAAGACAGATATTTGAAACGCTCCTGTCCACTAGTTATTATCCAAGCTTTAGGGGTATTAAACTGACAAAAGCAGGAAATGTAGACCATTAGATTCCGACCCACTCGCTCAGTGATAATGTGATAGCCACGGAACCTGAAGGTCCTGGGTTCGATTCTTGACGAGGCGGAGTCATGAGTGCAGACTGCTCAGGAGTCCCATACAGGGAGAAACAGCTGTCCAATGCTCCCAGGTTCTCAGTGTTTCTCCAGCTGATGTCCATTCACGATGAAAACCAACCCCAAATAAATAAATAAATAAATAAATCTCTACAAACCTCCAAATTGAATTAAAAGTTTTGTGCTTGAATTAAACAAGAACAATTACTAGTAAAACAGTATGCTATATGATTGCGATTTCCTTTCAATTCACACGGCGCAAATCCAAATTAAAAACTCCCCAGTAACTCAAAACAGTGTTCCAACTTCAAATATGACCGAAAAAGAAGGTAAACTGCGTAAAACATAATCCTGTTTACTGAAATAAAAGGAAATGAGTTGAAAAGGATTCTTCAAATGACTTGTCATTTTATAAAACATTCTAAACAGCTGGAGGGAATAGGAAAGAAAGCTTTTCTCTTTTGATATAACAATAACTGTCTATTTGTAGAAATCCAGGTTTTTCATCGTTTTTCAACCTTCTTTAAGTGAATAGATTATTTGACAGTTTACGCTGAGAACACGCGGTAACCTTGAAAAAACGCTCAGTTTCTGTCCATCATTTCCATTGGATTCAGTTACTGTATGTCCTCGCATTTTCCCTCTGCATTAGTCCATCGTTTCGAGGAAGTATCCATCACAGAATGACGTCAGTTGAGGTACTATTGAAAACCTGGGCGCTCTGGATAGCTATTTCGTCCCAGTACGATACTCCTCAGCAGTGTATGGTTAATACTTCTTTGAAATCAAACACTTCGCAAAAACCTCCTATGTGAATCGATCTCCCTTTGTCTGATCGGCTGATGATGATAAGCGTAATTCATATCTGACACCAAAATATGGTTCAAGGTTGTAGGAACAACTGACAGAAATCTCTGAAATAGGACTACTTTATGTCATGTTTTGGTTTAGTTGTCATTCTTGGTTTATTTAAATGTACCTAGGGAGTAAATTTTTGATTTTTTTCGAATACTTTTTGAACAGAGTAGATCACAAATAAGTTTTCAATATTCATTGGTGAAATCGAAAGTATAATGTAAAGTGAAGATCTCTTCTAAGGGGGCAAATGAACTGAAGGGTTTCCGAATCATGCCGAAATGATTTTCAACATAAACAGCAGTCATAAAAATCATGGAAAAGAGATAACGTCCAATTATTGGTGTTAACTATGAACATGGTGACAGGAAAGAGGTTTGATCAGCCGCCATCTGCCTGCATAAATGAAGAGCCTCTGAAGTTTCACTGTGGATATCAGTATAGAATTGGTTTCGACATGATGGTCAGTACTAACGAGGTGTGTGAGAATCACACTGCTAAGAGATCCGCTGGAGCCTCTCGTTAGCCATTCAAGCTAGAGTTCCTGAACAGATGATACCTCGTTCCACGGGGGAGAAGCTCAACTGATATCCATTCTGTGAAGTTATGAGATGCTAATTTTCATCCAAGTAAATTATCCTTCAGATTGTGGTAATATATTCACTAACTGCAGAATATACAACTCAAAGTTAACGGCGGGAAATTATTTACCAGAAATTTAGTCTCAAATCCCATGGAGGTGGTTTGGGTTTCGCTGGAGACAAGCATTATGAAATTCTTGATATACTCAGGAAAAGTGTTTTCGTGAGGTGATATCTCAAAATTCAGTGTGAAGCTTTGTGAAAATTAATCGATTTCGGGATGGTATTCTCTAGGGATTGACATCAATTGAAAAACTACTGGAAATCTAGGGGCATTGGACAGCCTCTCCATCGTAGTGTAGATTATCTCCGCTCCCACGACCCTGCCGGGGGTCGAACCCAGGACCATCATTAGTGTCAGTGTTCTTCATGAACTGGGTGGTACTATTTGTTTCTCAGCGTGTTAAGTGTGAGTAGGTAGCAGGTTGTTGACGAGAAGAGACAAGACCTATACGCCGCCTCAAGACAACTTAGAGCTTCTAGCAGATTCATACAGTACAGCGGTAACAGATATGATGGTAACAATGAATGACACAAGTTTATGTTACTGGGGGGTAAGTCACTTCTTTCACGGTGTAGGAGATGTCTTTTTGATAATCCCTAGCAATTATTTGGCCTGACCTCATTAGAGAGCTTAGACTTATGGTGTTTATCTTAATATGAGTTGCTTCGTTCGGGAGGATCTCCTGTTCTTAGGTATCGAACATCCTTCCCACTTCAGCTAGAGGAAAATATTCTGACTGAACCGAATGGTAACTAACTGAGGCACAGTAGTTTATAACTCGATTCCAGTTATCAAGCCTACATATCTTTTTATAGTACATAGTAATGGAATTGATAAAGAATTTGTTTAAAAAGAAAACACCTAATAGGAAAACGCCAGAAAATGGCAGCGGGAAAAGTGAATTGAAAATCTATAAAAATCAGTATAGTGTATTTTCTTGCAAGAAGACAAGTCAAATTTTGAAAAAATAAAATTCTCAACAAGGAGGATCTTTAGACATTATGCAATTTCTTACCTATTATACAACACAATATCTGGTAACCATAACTTTTGACAAGGAATTCGTATTCGTGATAAATTGTTATAGTCTTTTGGATCCCATGTTAACCTTTCATCAATCCATTCCTGTAAGAAGCAAAGAAATTGGGCAGTAAGAAATCAATAGGTTGGTCGTTTTAATCAAAACGGTTTTCGTGTCACTGGCCAAAGTCTCAGTAATGTACTACTTACTGCATTCAGTGCAACACAGCGAGATTAAACAGTCATTAGTGTTTCAATACAGGGAACAAAAAAGTGACCAAAACCATTCATGACGATGACATTATCTTTAGATGATCAGACATAGAGGTATCCAAACGTTATTGGCCTGTTATGAAGATCTATACTTCGTACTTTGCCATTTTAATATGACAAGGAAAGGAGGTCGGTATCACAGGACGTGGGAAACATGAAAGTAGTATGTAGAAGCTAGCAATAAATTGGTCAGTCCAAGAGGGTAGTTAATCGTCTGACGGAGTAAATTAGTTGGCTGAAGAGAGATTTTCACCATGAATTAAGTATTACTGAAACAATCATTAAAAATAGGAGGGAGCTAAGGAGTAATTTCGTCTGCATTAAGAAGTTCCTATCAGTGCACTTCCTCGATTGTTGCTATAGTCGTTCTCGGATTTTTTCGTAACACCACCAGCTGTAGTAAGTTATATTCATTGTTGGAGAAGAGGGAGGGCCACTGACTAAATCTTTAATGCCGACCGTGAGATCTTCGTTGTTAAATACTAGTTTGTGGAGACAATCACCTAATGAAGTCAGCTAGAGAACCGTTGAAAACATAAGTGTAGACCCATTCCACTTTGATTTCGAGATCCTCAGCGGTACACATCCACAGTCCTTCAAGGGATAATATCCAAGACCGTTAGGTTTCTTAGCCAACACTACCATTTACTTACTGGGTGGGGATACAGCGAACTACTATTCCCTACTTCTGTCATTTTGTTATACAGCATCAATACCATCTAGGACCTTTGATAGGTAACCATATTCATTGTGTCACAACTTTGTTTAGTTACAGCTGTCTTGAGGATGTGATTCTGACGATTCAGTCTAGTTAAAGCCGAATTTTTTTGTGATTAGTCTCCTATATACCTGCCACGTCTCGTATGTGGTCAGTCCACCCCGAAGATTAGTCATGCAATTCGATCCACCCTGGCAACCAGTTACAAAAGAAGACAAACTCTGCTGCTCATTGTCCATATGTTGCAGGCAAACATATATATATATATATATATATATATATATATATATATATATCATTTACAAAGGATGAAACAACCAACTTCAAGCACAAAATATGAGATAATGCCCAATAATTGATTTCACTCAAAAAATTGTAATTATTCCCCTACAATAATTTATACATAAATGAATGAGGGGTCATTTGGTAGCTCTCGAACTAGATGTATACTGATGTTAGCAAACATGTCATAAGTAGAACGATTTTTCAAAATAAATAAAATAATACACTACCAATGATACCTATCTGAGGAGATTCACATTTTCCACTTTTCGACTGATAAAACACATGGCTTTTCAAATCAGAGCATCATGAAGTCTGTCTATATTAAGTGTACTTTAAGACCAATTGATTTTGTAACTTAATAGTTGAACTGTTCTCCCTTCAAACTAAACTTGGTGTTTAGTAGTAGCCACTCTTCTGTATCTTGGTCGTCTGTATTCATGTAGTTGGTATGTTCTGAATAAATCTTTTTTTTTAGAAAATAGAATAAGTATCGGTTCACCTGATTCATGTTTTTAGGAAAACGGTTCATCGTAATTTAACCAAAGTATTAGATGAACAAAGAGCTTGATAAGACTGGATAGTCGAACTTCATGGAGGCAGTTTTGAATGTCTGGTCTGTTTTCTGTACACCAATGTACTCTGTAACACTTACTATTATTACTATTGTTACTAGCGCTAGTTGTAGTAATAGTAGTGGTACTAATCTTTACTACTTCTTCTCATAGTTTTTGCATTGGTCTCATGTTATCAACTAACATTAGTTTTTCCTGTGTTATTTGTTAGTCATATTGATATAGACCATAAAAAGACAGCGCAGTTTTGAATTAATTTAACTAAATTGTAACATTGTTCGGTAGAATGGATTTTTTCTTTGCCGAATAGGACTGAAAACAGTTGAGTTGGAGTGGTTTATTACTGGCTGCTCGTTGGTCGGTAACTTCCTGTATTAACTATCAACCGTATCATTTGTTGATAAGGATGACCATGATCATGAATTTAACAGAAGCTGAGTAGTAGACAGTACAGCATTTAAAATATATGGCTTGACAGATCAAAGTAAAATAGGGCGATCAGTTTGCAAATGATCCACAGACTGTACGGTCAACATTCACATTTCTCAGAGCTGAGTAGTTCTTCAACTGCCCAACTGTGTTATCAGGAGGGCTTCTGTTTGCTATTTTGGGTATAGTGGTCCATACAAGTCAACTAACTTGATACAAGGTGTCTGAACTATTTCGGCTCTATGAACTGTATTTATCCTACTTCACCACTGTTGAGCCCACTCCAGAAAGAGCGTAACGGTCGTTCAGTGTTTAGATCACTCTGATCTAGCTGGCTGGCAGAATCTCCAGATCAGTTTGACTGGTTTCTAACTACTCAACTTGTTCACCAGCAGTAGTATAGATCGATGTAGAACCTGGTTCTAAAAGTGCATTAATCCAAGTTGCCACACTTCACTGAAGCCTACTATGAAAAAGTTGATAAGGAAAGTATAATCTTAAATTAGAAGAACGAGCATGAAGCAAGAGAGTATCAGTAGATGAAGGTTCATGAAAATATTCAAGATTTTGAAGATGACAAAGTGTGTATACGTCTACACCGATGTGATCGATGGTCAGCCATAACACCAACTGAATTCATATATTGGTTTTTTTATCTCAGGGAGCTAATTTGGACCACTTACATCTCCCCAGATGGCTCTGACCAGCAATTACAGACTTCATGAGCTGGTGCAACCTTTGTTTGGCCACCTTTGGCTAACCACCATCCTAACCCTTCTTGGTTTACATTGCATCTCAAGACAATTGGTGTCTTGGCCTGCATAGCATGTGTCTAAACCACCTCAGTCTGTAAAGTTCCGCATCCTCATCGGCTGACTTACCCTCCTCACCCGGTACTGTACTCTTGACCTCTATACTTCTCATATGACGTTACCAAAAAAGTGCGAACGATGATAAGCAGGTAATTTTTATGAAACTGTGACCAGCTCGTGACTTTAACTCTCAATGGCCATATCTAACAGTTTTACTGCTGCACAGTATCCTCATTCTTTGTTATTTGGTTGGATGTTCAATCAGTCCCTTAATTGGCGTAAGTTGACAAATGTTGAGTCGTCAATTTGCATGTGAGCTGAGATTTCGTCAGTAAGCAGCATACTCGGGGTATTGCAATTCCGCAAGTAGAAGAACTATTCAACAAGTCCCACGACGCCATTCCTCACCTTTCTACTACAAGTCGATGCAGATCAACCCTGAAGATTACCTTATCCGCATTTTCAACTTCATCTATTGGGAAAACCGCAGCATAAGTTGGTGATATTGCCGACAGTAGTGTATCAGTGATACGCACCTACTGATGTTTTTAAAAATGAAATTTACTCTTGAAGATGTTCACAATAATTATACTATAATTGTTACTTGCTATGAACTTACACTGGGCAACTTTCCGTTGCATACTCACCAAGCACCTTCTAATGACCCAAAGGTGAAGTACACTGGTCACATTTGCCAGTCATGGTCACTCGTTAACAGGAAAATGAGAACCTAGCTAAGTATATATTGATAGATCCTATTGAGATGGGTAATCTACAGTAGAATCTGGCTACAGCTATGCATTTGATTACGCGTAACCATACAACAGGGTGGGGCAAAGGAACAGACATAAAGACTGATCAAAGAGATGGACAATTCCACTGTTACTTAACCACTGGGTGGGAATCCAGTGGTTCCTGTTTCCTACTTCTGCCAGTTAATTTTATAGCGCTACCCAAGTCAAATGTCGTTGTTCGGTAATTATCTTCCTGTTTGACTTGGTTGACTCCACTGGTCACGATTTCTCATTGGAACTTCAGGAATCACCTCTCGAAGTTGGTCACCAATGAGTGCTAAGTTAATTCTATCTGACGGTTGTGGAGATTTATTAATTGACTTTTACAGGTTGAAATTCATCATGGTCTTTTGCCAACTGGGAGGATCTTGGAAACCTGGGAGAACTGGATAGCCACTGTTTCGTCCCAGTATCGGACTCCTCAGCAGTGCGTATGCAAGACTCTGCCAGGGATCTAACCCAGAACTTTCAGGTCCCGTGGCCAGAGCTTTAGCATTGAGCTACTGGGTTGGAATTCAGTGGTAGCCATTTCCGATTTCTGTCGATGTGCATTGCTGAGGATTCCCACATTAGGATAAAGCAGCTGTCCAGTGCTACCAGGTCTCCAGTGTTCCTCCAACTGATGTCAGTCTATGATGAATTCCAACCTAATAAAATCAGCTAATATTACTTCACAAACCTCCAGATAGAATTGCATTGTCGATCAAACTAAAGCATAAAAAGGGAGTGGAATTGTTGAAAAAACTGAAATAGGAAGTTGTGCGATCATCTTGGAACGAATAGTGGGAGTAAATGTTGCTCGAAACATCATCCAATAAATAAAAATATTTAATGTATGCTACATCAGAAAGACCAACCTAATATGTTAATCGATAGTATGCACTTCTTCACTTTGAGTAATTTGTAAGATATTTGTACACTATTAACTGAAAACAAAGAATACACAGTTGTGATTCGCTTGGTGGTGGCTAACAATGAAATCTAGGATGGGTATTTCGCCCTACTTTAGCCTCATCAGCCGGACATACCTGTACCCCAGTTAGTGACAGTATTCCGATTGAGACTGAACCACAGGACCCATCACTTCAAACACGAAGACTTTATTCACTAGGCCACTGGGGTACGTAAATTACCTCACGTGCAATGAGTGTTAGTGATTATGATCATTTATTGACACTTGCAGTTTGGCTTTGTTATTTTATTGGATCAAGTTCATCTACCTCTGTTAGCATAAGGGCTCCTATACGGATGTATGGATAATGCTTACTGGTACATCAAGCTGAGTCCCAAATAGGACGTAAGGTGTATCCCAGGTTCCACTGTTATCCACTACCAAGGTAACAACATAATAATCATAACACAATAATCAAGCAACAAAAAATCATTCGCATACATGCTCTTGTGTACACAAAGGTCACTCAGTACGATAACAAAAAAACAAAGGACAATTATTATTATTATAAAATAATAAGGATGTACAATTCTAAAGGATGAGTCAAACAGGGTAACTAATTCACCAATCTTCAAAGCTGATTAATGTCATGAAAAGACGGAGAATATCTGAAACATGTGATATGTTATTGCAAAACATTACGACAAATTTTATCACCCGTGAAATTATTGAAACATTTACGTGAAACTTAGAAAGGTTAATCCGGCAAACAGAATTACAACTGAGAAATATAAAAAAAGCAGAAAAAAATCCAGAAAGCAGAAAAATAATAACCACCACTGAAAAGAAAAAGAGTTGAACATAAAAGAAGCAATGTCAGTTTAGTGTAAGTAGCAACTATTTATGAATCATAGAAAGGGTTTGAATTCATGGACAGTGAGCGATTCGACAAATTCAAGTATACGGCCTGGCCATATAATATTCTTATTTCCTACTTGGGTTCCCAAAGCAACATAGGGCTTCAGTAGCACGTCTCCAGTGCATTCTATTCTCTGAAATCTTTCAAACCTGGCTCCACGACAGCCCCGAAGCTCCCATTTCCTCCTCGCACGATCTCCTCTATGTCACTCTCAACTGGGACGCCCAACTCGTCGCTTCGCATGTGGATTCCACTCAACGGCCTGGCCTGGCACGTAATGTCCCCAGCCGGCCTTCTCAGTGTATGCTCAATCCATGTCCACTTCCTTCCAGTGCATATTTGTTCAGTGATACGTTCTTGGTTGGTTCGTTGCCAGGCCAGAATTCCTTGTTGCTGATTCTTTCTGGCCATCTGAGCTTCAGTAACGAGCCAGAGTAGGCAGTTGTTGATGCATTCTGCAGTTTGTTGGAAATCCCTTTCGTAATGTGTCAAGTCTCTGAGCCATACATAAGCACCGACTTGACGTTGGTGTTGAAAATCCGGATCTTGTTCCACATGCTGAGTGCAGAAAATCTTCACACTGGTTTCACGCCTGTCCTGCTTTTCCGATCCTGACTTTGACATCCTCGTCCGTGCCGCCTGTAGTTGAAGCAGTGCTACCTAGATAGGTGAAAGGGGCTACTTCCTTCAAGTTTCTCCTGTTGATGGCGATTGGAGCTTGTTGTTGATGATGGTTGCGTTGGTTAAGTGTCTTCATCACCTCTGTCTTCTCTATATTCACTTGAAGTTCCGTCTTCGCTGCCCTGCCTTGCCTCTTCTGTCAACTTGTTACTTTGTGTGACATTAGACATAAGTCATCGGCGAAATCCAAGTTTTCTAGGTTCTTTTCCGCGGTCCAGCATATCCCCCTCTTCTCGCTCCTCACGGTTTACTGCATGATCCAGTCCACCACAATCAGGAATATCATGGGTGATAGTAGACAGCCTTGTTTTACTCCTGTCCTCACTTCAAAAGCATCACTGAGCTTCCCATTGTGAATTACTTGGCATATAGTTGTTGAGTGAGATTGACAAAGGTTCGTGGTATTCCGTAGTGTTGAAGCAACTGCCAAATTACTTCTCGGTCGACGCTGTCAAAGGCCTTTTCAATGTCGATGAAGTTGAGGTAGAGAATGACTGCCATTCTGTGCTCTGTTCTATGATGATGCTTTGCATTGCAATTTGGTCCACATATGATTTATTTTTCCTGAATCCAGCCAGCCTGTTCCAGTCGTAGTTATGAATGCAGCGTATCCTTTAGTCTCTCTAGGATGATGCGGCCTAATATTTTGCTTCGGTGGACAGGAGCGTGATTCCGCACCAGCTCTTGCAAAGACTTAGGTCTCACTTCTTTGGGAATTTGACAAGATAGTCCTTCTTCCAATCCGTTGGCAGGTACCTTCTCTTCCTTACAGATCTTCTGCAACTGTGTTGTGAGCATGTCCGCTGCTGTTGTCTCTGCGTCTGTTTTCAGTGCTTCATCTGGTCATGCTGCTTTCCCGCATTTCACTAGCTTTATGGCGCTCAGAACTTCGACTTTTGTTGGAGGATTCGTGTTCACTGGTAGTTCCGTGGCTGGGTTGCTGGTGGTATTTCTGGACAAATTGCAGATGGTGGTCGATTAAAGAGCCTTTTGAAGTGATCAGCCCATTGTTTCATCTGTTCCTCCTCTTTGGTAACTGGCTTTCCTTCACTATCTTTCATTGGTTTCGTCTGAGTCGATCTCTTCCCAGATCGATAGTAACCTGATTATTTGATACAATGTTGTCAGGTCTCTCCTACCAGCCAGCAGCCTGTTCTGCTTCACTTGCCAATGTGTCGTGGAAGTGTATTTGTCTTTGCGCGCACTCTTCACTTCTTTGTCTAGCGTAGTGTTTTTTCGTTGTACTCAGTTCTTCTTTTCGTTGTTCATCCTTGCACTGCACTGGTTCATCTTCTGCTTCCCCCCATCTTTATTCTCACTACAATCTCTCTTAGTTATTGATTATTCTCGTTTATTATTCACATTCAAATACTGATTACTCTTCATGCCATCTTTTCCTTTATTGACTTGAGAATACTGTTCCTGTTATTTGGGTCACGGTATTTTTATGCATGAAATAACTGTTATTTCTTAAGTCCAGTTTCCTTTTCTTGAAAATTTAATAGAGTTCTCATTTATTTTATCCTACTAGGTGAATTTTCTTTTTCAGGTTTAGAGGCTGCGTATACCCTTTATTCGTTAAATTAGTTCCCAAAATTTTGAAATATTCCCCATAGCAACCAAACATTATGCTAACCAGTTATTTTGGTAATAAAAACTTTTACTGAAAACAAACATGAAACTAAGAAGCAACTGAACTACCTTGTCTATTTGTGTAATAATTTATGAGAGGATGATATTTTTAGACGCTTCCTGAATTTTCAAAAACATCATTACACCATCTTCTGTTGTCTTAATATTCATTTCTCTTTTCTTGGCTATTTTGGATGTATCTGACCTGTTCAAAATCAGTTTTCACACTGACGTCCACTCACAATGGAATTCATTTGATTACTTTACGGTACTGTCGGTAACCTTAGAACAGCTCATTAAAACACAGACTTGTTCGGAAGTAGTTCACTCGTGTATGAGCGCTAAGCATCATTTCAATGATATAGTGGGTTGATTTAGCTGTGGTTACTACGTCTGACGTTGGCAGTATCAACAAAGTTTATAAAAAGGTCACTCTATTAACACTTTAAGTCCATTTCGGTGTGTTTATTTCCATTGAAAGATAGTTTTTTTTCCCATGAAACAAAGAAAAACACCCTAATGATCATTTCACTAATTGCTGGGGTAAACTATCAAATTACCCAGATAACCGCCAAGCAATCTTCTTTTAGTAACTTATAGTACGAGAGAAATACAGAAGTCTGATTCTAGACTGTTTCAACTTGACTGTAATGCATTTCTGGAATTTCACATGACCCACAGTTATCATTTCATCTTTACAATGAATACGTAACCCGATAAGTCACCGGTGGAACTGGATATAAAATAACATGATTCAGTTAGGGAGTTCACGGGGGAGGACTATTTGATTTCAGGTAGATTTTCATCACGAATCGACCTCGGATGGAGAGTCATAGCAAAAATAAAAGTACTGGATAGCCAGTCTCCCTTAATTTTGAAGTTCTCTCCAGCTCGAACCATCAGGTCTCTTTACTACACCTGGAACTCATTGCCTAGAATGTGAACCTACAGTTGATCATTAGATTGTACCAATATAATGAGGCGAAATGTCTGCAAAACACTTCCAACTCAGCCTTCGTTGAGTCATAGAAATTAATCTTATGAGCCTTTTAACCGCTAATAAACGCATTGTTGAATATACAGAAGAAAAAGATTATTTTTGATGGTTATCATGAAACCAGGTTCAAATAAATAGCAGAAGGGGAGCTATTTTCCCAAGACAGATTCAACCAAAAATATTTGACGAACGAGAAAGAAGCTGAGGCATTTCTAGTGGTACTGGTCTTTCATATTGAAGATAATTTCTGAAAAATGTTTACTTACTAATGAGTAGTTTCGAAATATTCAGCGTCACTTTTCACTTCGCTAAAAAGCTAGTTATTATTCTTACAAAATATTCCATAGAGAGAAGACATTATTACAAGTCTATATATCGATCGCATGAAGATTATTACTACTATGATCAGTGTCAGTCTTACCATCAGTTATTGAAAGGTGAAACAAGAGATTACCACAAAAGTTGAGGATAAGGTGTACGAAGTCAAAATAGGACCCACATTTTTAGGTAAAGGAAGATATCACTTACCTGTTCAATCCAAACATTCAAAGTAAGCACTTGGTTCACTTCATCCTACACGCCAAGAAAAGTAAAAGAACAGGGAAATCACATTTCAAAACTTGACTATTTGAACCGAAGCGATAATAATAAGATTTAACTGAAAATAATTCAAATGAAAATGGCATATCTATTAAATACAGTTCCTCTAGAAGAATCGATAAACGAATATGTTGTTTCGGTAATTCCACGCAAACATGAAATCATATCTACATGGCTGAAGAAAGGGGATGAAAAATTAGATTAACAACACACCATAAACCACCAATCGAGTTAATGCCCAGTGGTATTTATTGACTGGCTTCCGGATGGATTGACCGAAGCTCCAATCAAAAGCCCTAAAATGTAGCATTAATGATGCTTAGTGGCTAGCAGTCGAATCTAGGACATGTCTTTCATCCTGTTTGGTCTTATCAGACGGGTGCACCCCCCCACGAGCCATGAACCAAAACTATACTATACCCGTCATGCAATGAGTGCTTACTGTGACTTATTGGCCTAGTAGATAACGTTTTAGCGTTTGAAGCAGTTGGTCCTGGATTTGAGCCCAGGTAAAGACAACATCAGTCACTGAGAGACAGGTAAATTCAGTCCATCCAACAATAGAAATTCACTAAGTAAACTATCAAAACCTGAACTGGTGGCGTCAATGAAATTCAGTTTGCAAAAAGTTATTTGTCGTAAAACAGAATGCTGGTCATACTATATCGGCTGCTTATAACACTATTTAAAATGATACATACAATAGAAATTTGATACAGCTTTGTTCTGTGAAGAAATATCGGTAAACAGAAAACGATTTAACACAGTTAGGAAAGAAAAACAAAATCCATCTCATCCACTGAAGTTGATATAAAAGAAACAAAGTGATTCAGTGTTTAGATTGAGGTATCGTGTATGCTATCCAACAAACAGATAAATTCTTAACAGAATTATGTCGTCAGAGTCTATGAAAATCACAGATATGCATAAATAAAAGAGAATGATTAATTTTGACACTACACCTTTTTTTGCTATTGCCTAACTAACAAATGGAAAGTTCTTCAAACGACCAAATGTGACTTCAATGGAGCTTTACTCAGAAAACGCAGATTGCAAGATGCAAGGAAAAATTGGAGTGAAAAACCTGGGCACTGTGGTAGAATGTAGTTCCATATTAGATTTGTTTATTTGATATAAAGCGCACAGTGATACAGTATTATTTACTTGATTACGTTTCGAGCATAAATTATTGCTCATAATCATATCAATGTAATCACACTTCTTTCGACATCTGATTTTATAGTCCTGTCACCTGATCTCTCTTTGTTTTTTTGTTTTTTGATTGGTAGTAAAGTTTTCCATATCTCTGGTATAGGTGTTGCGTCATTCCTATTACATGTGTTGGGTGTAAATTCGATGAACAAAGATTCAGTAATTAATCTCTCTCTCCACCTAGCTATATTAGACTTAAGTACATTGGTTTTGTCCCATCCTATTGTGTGGTTGTGTGTTAATGAATGTAATGCAATGGCTGAGTGTTTTTCTAGGTTATTGATCTTATTGGGGTCTGTCGTTCTATGTTTAGCTAAATTCCTATGTTCTATTAATCTAACTGACCCCGACCGGCTAGTTTGACCTATGTATTTGACTTCACAGTCATTACATGGAATTTGGTAGATTATATTATTTTGCTTAATTGGTTCTATCGGATCTTTTAGCCGACAAAGCTTACCTCTAAGTGAGTTTGTTGGTTTAAATGCCACCCTAATTCCAACCTTGTTGAGAATCCTACGTATGGTTTCTGATGTTCCTTCCTTGTATGGTATCACAATAGAGGTGCTGATTTCCTTTCTACTTATGTTGTCACTATTATTTGTATTTGTATTAGTGTTATTATTTTGCTTCTTATGCGTCCGTGTGAATTTCTTAATAAAATGATGGGGATAATTATTAGTTATTAACGCTTCTTTTATGTGTTTCAATTCCTTATTTAAGTCCTTACAATGACTAGTGAGTTTCTCAGCTCTGTTATGTAGACATTTGACTAAACCCGCTTTAACTGACACTGGATGAGATGACTTGAAGTCTAGATACCTGTTAGAATGTGTTGGTTTTCTGTAGACGGTAGTATCTAAACCACCATCTATCCTTCGTTTTATTCTGCAATCCAACATAGGTAATTCTCCTTGTTCATTTTCTACTTCGTAGGTGAATTGGATTGCGTTAACTACTGAGTTTATGTGTGTCAAGAAACTGTCGATATGTTCCGATTTCAACACTGTAAATGTGTCATCTACATATCGCCACCATATCTTAGGTGTCGGATTATATGTTCGTAAAGCCATATCTTCCCAACTATCCATAAATATATCTGCTACTATAGGGGATATTGGTGATCCCATTGCTACTCCTTCTGTTTGTCTGTATATCTTTCCCTGAAACTTGAAGACTGTCGAGGTTAAGCATAACTGCACTCCTAACATGATTTCACCAACCGATGCCTTGGTTCTTTGAGTAAGTTGTGAGTCAGTATCTAGTTGATTTCTGACTGCCTCCAGTGCCATATTGATTGGTATTTTAGTATAAAGACTTGTTACGTCAAAACTAACCATTTTTTCATCCTCTTCTATGTGCAGGTCATTAAGTTTTTGTTTCAACTCGTAAGAATTTACTAGTCTAGAGTTGGAACGGTCTCTAACAGGACGTAATACTGATGCTAAATACTTTGATATCTCATATGTTGGTGTGTTTCGGAAGTCAACTATCGGCCTAATGGGATAACCTGCTTTATGAACCTTAATAGTACCGTAAATTCTGCTAGGATTATTAGTTTTTGGCATTAAAGTAAACCATTCGGACTTACCTAGAGATGGCTTCAGTCGGCGTATCAGATCTGTTGTAGATTTCTTAATTTTATTCATGACAGTATCTATAGGTTTCTTAATCTCTTCATATGGCCCTGTTTGGATATGTTCATCCATTTTTTTAAGATAATCCGATTTGTCCATAACTACTGTTGAGTTACCTTTGTCAGATTTAGCAATTACTATACTATTATCCTTTCGTAGATTGTTTAAAGCTGAATTTTCCAGTTTCGTTAAGTTTCGCTGTGTCTTCTTTTGTTTTTTAAGTGCTAATGCACACTGCGCTCTAACCTGTTCAGCAGTTGTCACATCCACCGAGCTTAATGCTACTTCTATGCTAGGTATGACATCTTCTGGTTTTAGATGATCTACTGTTATGTTGAAGTTTAGTCCTTTTTCAAGTACTTTCATCTCAGCTGAGCTTAAGGCTTTCGAGGAGAGATTGACTACCCACTTTGTTCTATCGATGTTCGATGATGTTTCCTTTGTAATTTCATTGTTTTCCGAAGCATATTTTTCTTGCATTAGTTTATTGAACTTTTTGATTTGATTTCTTCTAGATTTCTTGAGAGTAGCTAATCTTGCTTTGTCTGATGTTTCTATTATAAATCCATAGTCTCTGCAGTTTACTATCTTCATAATTTTACATTTAAGTTGTTCAATTTTATTCCGAATGGTACTTAATTTCTTAATAATCCTGTGAATTTCTTCTTTCAGACATAGTTTGCTGACATGTTCTATTGCCCTTTGGATTTTGTCAGTATATATTGGGATTCGTATGCGAAGGTATTTAGGGATAATTTGATTTTTCATGCAACGAATATTGAAAATACGATGATTTGTGAAACGTGCTTCAGTTTGTGAAAGTCGTGTGAGTTTATTGATTAGCCTTCGAACAGGAAGACCATAAGTTTCATTAATATAAGTGAAAAACTTGGGCACTGTGGTAGAATGTAGTTCCATATTAGATTTGTTTATTTGATATAAAGCGCACAGTGATACAGTATTATTTACTTGATTACGTTTCGAGCATAAATTATTGCTCATAATCATATCAATGTAATCACACTTCTTTCGACATCTGATTTTATAGTCCTGTCACCTGATCTCTCTTTGTTTTTTTGTTTTTTGATTGGTAGTAAAGTTTTCCATATCTCTGGTATAGGTGTTGCGTCATTCCTATTACATGTGTTGGGTGTAAATTCGATGAACAAAGATTCAGTAAATAATCTCTCTCTCCACCTAGCTATATTAGACTTAAGTACAGTGGTTTTGTCCCATCCTATTGTGTGGTTGTGTGTTAATGAATGTAATGCAATGGCTGAGTGTTTTTCTAGGAAGAGTAGTTATGGACAAATCGGATTATCTTAAAAAAATGGATGAACATATCCAAACAGGGCCATATGAAGAGATTAAGAAACCTATAGATACTGTCATGAATAAAATTAAGAAATCTACAACAGATCTGATACGCCGACTGAAGCCATCTCTAGGTAAGTCCGAATGGTTTACTTTAATGCCAAAAACTAATAATCCTAGCAGAATTTACGGTACTATTAAGGTTCATAAAGCAGGTTATCCCATTAGGCCGATAGTTGACTTCCGAAACACACCAACATATGAGATATCAAAGTATTTAGCATCAGTATTACGTCCTGTTAGAGACCGTTCCAACTCTAGACTAGTAAATTCTTACGAGTTGAAACAAAAACTTAATGACCTGCACATAGAAGAGGATGAAAAAATGGTTAGTTTTGACGTAACAAGTCTTTATACTAAAATACCAATCAATATGGCACTGGAGGCAGTCAGAAATCAACTAGATACTGACTCACAACTTACTCAAAGAACCAAGGCATCGGTTGGTGAAATCATGTTAGGAGTGCAGTTATGCTTAACCTCGACAGTCTTCAAGTTTCAGGGAAAGATATACAGACAAACAGAAGGAGTAGCAATGGGATCACCAATATCCCCTATAGTAGCAGATATATTTATGGATAGTTGGGAAGATATGGCTTTACGAACATATAATCCGACACCTAAGATATGGTGGCGATATGTAGATGACACATTTACAGTGTTGAAATCGGAACATATCGACAGTTTCTTGACACACATAAACTCAGTAGTTAACGCAATCCAATTCACCTACGAAGTAGAAAATGAACA